CTGAACTTCCTCTCCAATTCCACCCTAGTGTATGAGTGCTTTCCTGTTCTTCTAAGCGCCCCTCCCGGTCACATCTTTTAAGTGGAGGTCTCACACTCCAGGTCGAAAGCTGACTCCTCCCAGAGCTACCTGAGGTTAGCTAAGGGCCTGCGGTGGGTGCAGTAATGGCTATCAGTTCTTGGTTGCCCAGGGGTGATGCTATGGCTTGGTACCTCACATCCTCTGAGTAGGCAGTGGTAGCCCTAATTTACCGCGAGAAAACCAAGGCTTAGAAGTTGTGCTAATTTGCCTGATTCCACAACCAGCAAACAGCTGAGCTGGGAGGTGAATCCGTGGTTTGTGATTTGAAATTCAATCCCTTCACTATAATTTCCCAGCCGCTACAAAGTCAGAAACTCTGGAGTCATAACTAGATTTTTTCTCTCGGATCAAGCAATTCAGGTCCCGTGGGTTTCCTGTCTCTCAAGTGTGTTTCCTCCTCCCAAGTCCCGCAGTTACCGACGCTCTGGACGCCATCTCCCTGGCCTGCAGCTCACGGCAGACATTTTACTCTGCCCCGCCCCCGTTTCCCTTCCTAGCTCACTCAGAACAAGGGCTGGGTTCATTATCCCTTGTATTTTAGCCCAGCCAAAGGCAGAAATGGTCCGAAGAAGTCTGTTAATATCTAAACCCAATGAAGAAATTCTGCTGTACTTCTGGGAGCATAGGAGGGATGTATACAGAGGGTGGGAAAAAGAAAGACACTCTCTTCCCACCCTGTCCCACACCCGGAGTCTGGAAAGGGAAAGGAGGAGGCCTGTCAGACCCTGGTTCTCTAAGGCAGAGGCCGAGTCCCCGAGGGGACAGCTGAGTGATCCTGCCCTGCCTCCGCCCTTGTTCCCGCTGAAGGCCAGGCCTTAAGCAGGAAGTTTGCTGTGATGTGTGGAAGGTCCGAAGCCAGTTCTTTGCCTTCCAGGAGCTATGGGAATCTCTAGGTTAGGGCCACACCCTACTGGGAAAGAGGACACACCTAAAACTGGTGGGATGAATTTCTCCTCTACGTTGGCAAAAGGGAGGCCGGTGTCCAAACAAATATGGGGAATAACCTTGTACCAGGAGAGTCAGATGCGGTCCCTCAGTAAGGTGCTACGAATCCTACTTAGGACCCTGCCTAGCCAGGATGGAGACTTAGCTATAACTGCTGGGGACTGGAGCCTGTTTTTCATAAAAAGGCCACCACCAGTCTCCAGAGAGAACTGTCTAGATTCTAGTGACCTGAGGCCAGGCCTGGGCCTTCGAGCCTCAGGCAGACTGAGCCAGAAGGAAGGAAACCAGGGCAGATGGTTGCACACACTCCCAGATAATGCCTCTGATTCATACGCAGATACCTAGAAAGTGAGAGGCTTACAAGCTAGCTCTGAGGCCTTTATCTTAAACTCTGGATTGCTAAAAACAAACAAAAAAGGAAAAAGGGGAATCTACTAGGAAGCAGAAAGAGAAGCCAGACCAGCTGGCATCTTAGGTCTGGGACATCTAAGGCTGGGCATCCCTTCTGGGCCAGAATGCAGGGAAGGGAGTGGGACTTGATTTCCATAAAATGGAAATGATGGTGTCCAGAAAACTGAGGTGCTTTCTGGGAAGGAGAAAGGGTATAAATCCTTGTGACATATGGGATGAGTCCCATCCTCCACGGGAACTCCATGTCAGTTCTGTAGCTGAATGTCTGCCACCTTCAGAGGAGGACTTCTAAAGGCCCTGGTGAAGTCTGAAAAGGATTTTGCATACCCCAAGATAGATCAGCTATAATGCAGAAATTAGAACTTTGAGTAGAAAGCATCAGGAGGCAAGAGAAGCTTATTTTCCTGCCCAATGGGTACACCACTAAATCCGAAGGGTGGCTGGGCTGTGGGGCTGCAAGGGTAGCCACCTCCAGGAGGCTACATTCCCATCTTGGTGCCTGCGGACCGGTGGGGAGGGATGTGCAGAAGGGAGGGCTGTCCACTCCACTGGCACAAACTGAACTCTCATGTAGCTTTTCTCAGATGCCCAGCAGCCTAGCAGGAGCGGGGAGGCAGGTCCATGGAAAGGGCTGTTTGGGCATACTGGACACTGCGATCCATACTTCTTCCCCTGGCTCTGTTTTTGAACTGGCTCTCTTCATTCAGTCACAAAACTGCCATCAGTGTGACTCCTCTAACATGCACATATGTTCCTGTCACTTGGCTGCTTGGAATTCTTCAGTGGTCTCATTAGTTTCCATCAGTAGCAACCAAGAGACTTGTCTAATCAGAACCACTGAGTTTTTAATCACAGAGCATGATGTTCAGACTTGTGTTACAGAAAGATACTTTAGACAGCAGACACAAAGATGATTCTCCTGGATTGATTAATTACATACCTTAAAATGGACAAATAGTAATTCCCATAGCAAAACAAACAAAGCAACAAAACTGCTCCAAAGAATAAATGCTATCACTGAATGCCCAAGTTCCTCTATAAAACCATTCACTGAGTTCTACATCCTTCCTGAATCAGAACTAGCAACATTTATGCACTTTGAGTTGAACAGTTGAGACAAATGAGAACCATTTTAGTGAAACAAAAAGACTGTGATCTTAATGTGATTTAAATTTACATGGTGACTGTGTGTGCTTTATGAATCATTTTTAATTCCTACTGCTGAAACAAAAAAAAAATATTACCTTGGTAGCTTCTACAAAATAGATCAATTAAATTATTCCCCAAAATAAAATACACTTTGGCATAGCATAAACATACATAGTTTCCAGCATTTTAAAGAATGAAAAATACTCTTTATTTGGTTATTTTAATAAGTATATTTAATACTTTATTAAGATCTCAACTGTCATTTTCACTTTTTATTTATTTATTGTTCATGAAGAGGGGAGTAAGGAGTTTTAATAATACTCCCTAGGAAATAACTTCTAACTTGAAAGTGGTACAATATGTTCTACGCTTGCTCCATTCCACTATGAGGGAGGCACACTCTACTTAATTCTGTAGTAGGCTGTGCTCCTGTGGTTAAACAACAAATCCAAGGATAGTATTCTTCTAGGTACAACCTAAGACAGATGGAGTGGAAAGAGAACTGGCTTTAGAATTAGATAGTTCTAGATTTTAATGCTGGCTCTGCTACTTGGAAGGTGTGCGACCTTCACCAAGTTGTATAATTTCTTCTCTAAGTCTGAGTCTTTTCTGCCATAAAATGGGGATATCCATCCTACTGAGCTATTATTAGAAGATACATTCTGTGGATACATATAGTGGCATAATGAGGGCCACAGAGTCCAAAATAGCTGTACAAAGTAGATGTGGCCTGTAAGTAAGAAGTATCAAGAATGGCTTTATTTACACTGTGGGTGAGCTTACAACAGGAAAACTTTAATATTGTTAATAAACACAATTTATTTTAGAACATAAAACATGCAACAGAAAGAATATACATGAATGATCCACTTCAATCCTCTTACTGTGGATCATCATATTCCTTCCTAACATATACTTGTAAGAGAAATTTATATTATTATATGTTTGCTTTAACAGTGTATGTTGTGTATTGGAAAGAATCCTAAACTCTTGAGTTGTGTAATATAATTTACTGTGCTATGAATGCAAGACTGAGTCTGATGACAGAAAACAATTACAAACAGGCTTGGCATGAACTGGTCTTATGAATCTCATAAAGTTACTGAAAAGATAAAGCCATTCATGCATTTTTGGATTCTGCTAAATCTTTCCTTCTGAATCTGTTTCTGGGGAAGTAGACCAATTTCGGTTAGAATATCTGCAGATTATGTCCATGTATCCATTTCCCAAGATAAATGTAAACCTAATGTACTGCAAGCATGTACTAATAGATAAAAAAACACTATTAATATTAAATGTTAATAAAAGAATCATCTGGAAAGTAGAATGCATGCGAGCACACCTGGTACCCCCACCCGAGACAGCTGGAAATCAATCTCAAGATCACGAAAGAAGCTAGAAAGTGGTTTATCTTGAGAAAATGGCGGGGGGGGGGAGTGTCAGATATAAGATGTATTATATGAAAACTTACAAAAAACACTGGAATAAAAAAATTATGGAATCTCAGTAAAGGAGAGTTTGCAAAAGATATATGGAAAGAGGCCAACAGTTATGGTTAAGCAACAGCATAAAAGCTGCAAAACAAGGGAAGGGTTGCTTTAGGGTGAAATGGGCTTGGACAGAGAACTAACACATGCTATGGGGAAAACCACAAAAATGCTGGCTAGGACATTTAAGGCTAGAATTAAGGAACATTATCTTGAAATGAGTGGTTAAAACAAACCATTATCTTTGTATGAATGGTGGAAAGTGAGATATAAAAACTTCTGATATATAAGAAAAGTTATACATCAGAATCTATGGTTGGTGTCCTGCCAACCATAGATTCCTTCAAATAAAGTCTGGACCTACCTACTTCACAACTTTAGGAAATTTGGATAGAATATGGACATAAATGGACAATCACCCCAATTATGATTTAGGAAGAGTGATTTAGACCCTGAGTTATATGTTACATAGCAGATATGTGATTCTAAATGGAGGACGACACTATTTCCTAGTATTTTCTTTGTTTCTTTTGTTTAAAGCAACTTTAAAATAAAAGGGAAGGATATCATAAATGTTCTAGTAAGCAAATCATGATACACAAAAATCAATGGTCCAGTACCCCATCATTTCTAATTTAATATGGATAAATAGTAACAATGTTCTTAGCAAATTCTCTTCGCTTTTTTTTTAAGATAGGGTTTTGTAAGTTCCTAGCCTTTATCCCTCAATCCTATTTTTCCCTCAGGGCCTGAAGTTCCTCAAATGCAAACTCTCTGGCACTGAGGTTTGTGGAAATGCTGTAAAACTTCTACTGTGCAAGAGGCTTTGGCGTGGGCTCCACTGCAGGGAGAAAATGTGGACAGTTATCACTGACCACAGGGGAGGCGAGAGGGCAGGTGTCTGAGGGCTTAGCAAGACGTACTTACCTTCCTACGTGAGGTACAGGTGCGTTTTACATGTGACCCGAACCAGAGGCCACATCAGACACGAGAGCAAACCTAGGGGAAAAACATGAGAAAAAGGTGCACAAAGGACACAGACAAAGCACACTGGTACCCCATACAGAGACACTGACCTATGGAGAACAGGAACTAGGAGGTCTCCCCATCACACCATGCCACTGTGTCATTATGTCATATTGTAACATTCCTTCAAGTCCCGAAAGAATGTGTACGTATGAATGTATTTACTGATTTTGAGACATGGTCTTGCTAAGTTGCCCAGCCTGGTCTTGAACTCATGATCCTCCTGCCTCAGCCCCCAGTAGCTGGGATTACAGATGGTTTGCTGCTGTACTTGGTTTTAAAGGGTTTTCCATTTGAAAGAGCCGATACAGTGATGCAGTTAACAGCTGGGTTATGGTGTCAGAAGGCAGTGATTAAAATCCTAGTGCTAACCAGATCTACCCAGGGTCCTCATCCAGTTTGTTTCTCTACCTCAGCTTCCTCACCCGTAGACTGGAGATACAATAACGATCCACCTGCAGTATAAGAGCCTTCAGAGGTTAAATTGGTTGACATGAGCAAAGTACTTAACCCTGTGTCTGGTGAGCAGGGAACACTCAGATATTTGCAATTATTTTTCAAGGACCCGAATATAAATACTTCACAGCCCACAGTGGAAATGAGAAGATAATCAGAACCTTTTCAAAAAGTGTCAACTAAGCCAGGCATGGTGGTGCATACCAGTAATCCCAGCCACTCTGGAGGGTGAGGCAGGATTGCAAATTTGAGGCCAGCCTGGGCAATTTAGCGATACCCTCAAAGAAAAAAAAATCAAAAACAAAACAGGACTGGGGAAGTAGCTCAGCAGTAGAGTTTCAAGCATAGCATGCTTGAGGTCCTGGGTTCAATGCCCAGCACCAGGGAAAAAAATAAAAGAGTGTCAACCAAGAATATTATCTTGAGTAGGGCTTCAAGTAAGGGATCCTGGGAGAGTGGAGAGGGTTACTCAGGAATAAGGAAAAGCCACCAAAAGGTGAAGTATCAAAAACAGAACACCTCAATGTCTCCTAGATCTTGATATTGTAATTTAAAAAATGTGTAATTGATATTGTGTAACAGGAAGAAAAGGTCTAAAGGACCAGGGGAATTGGGAGGGGTAGGGGAAAGGAAAAAAGGAAAAAAAAAATATGAGAAAAGGAAAAATGGAAACAAAGTCTCTGCAAATAGGGAAGGGTGGAGGGGGTGAAGGGAGGGCAAGGGAAGGGGAAAAAATAAGAACCAAGATACTCATGTAATGGTACAAGATCCCAATGATGAATGCAACTGTATTTTATACCAAAAATGTACCAATAAACTTAATGGGGGGAAAAAAAACCCCAGAACACCTCACCTTTACAAAACTCTGTTTTCAAAGACAAGACTACCATATGGGAGGCCTGGAGGGCAGGACTGGACCCTGAGCACACCCTGACCAAGAGAGAAGTCAAAAAACAAACAGGATGGTGATGGAAGGGAAGGCAATACTGGGTTTTCTAAAGACTGAAAAATATGTGAATATGGGGCCAGGGATTTAGCTCAGTAGCACTGTGACTCTCTTGCAAGCACAAGTACCTAGGTTCGATCCCTAGTACCAAAAAAAAAAATGTGAGTTTACTTTTCCATGAGAAGAATGAAGACAGGAAACACATTACAGCAGCTCAGACCACCAAGCCTCGTTTCCACAAAGACAAACTCCTTACTGACCAGCAGCCTGGTCCAAACAGGTGAATATGTGAGCAAGCAGCACCCTCTTCCTGCAGTGGGTCCACATTTATCACTGACTGAAAAGCCTGGGGCTTTCTTCCCCTAATAGCAAAACCTTATTAATCTGAATTCTACTCATCTACAAGAGTAGTGACTTAGGCTCTGAGCTGAGCTGGTTTTTTTCCCTTTGCGTTGGGGTCTTTCCTTGCTGAAAAAATGTCTCACTAAAGGAGACAATAAGCAACGTTGCACACATTTAACTTTACATATACTAAGTATCTAACATCCTCGTGAATATACTGAACATTAATTATAAATAATTAGGTAATGAGTTATTACAGAAAATCTTTATACTGTAGTAAATCTGGCCTCATATATACCTTACATGTAATTTTTATAATCTTGTATTTCACAATAGTTTCTCTTGCAATTCAATCTAGTGGGTAAGGAAGATGCCTCTTTGTCAATGACTACATAAGCCTTTTTGAAGTGGGGCCAGTACTGGGAATTGAACCCTGGGCATTTGCACTGAGCTACATCCCCAGCCCTTTTTATTTTTTATTTTTATTTTGAGACAGGGTTTTGCTAAGTTTCCCAGGCTGGAATCAAACTGTGATCCTCCTCGCTCAGCTTCCCAGAGTGCTGGAACTACAGGTGTGTGCCACCATGCCTGGCTTACATGAGCCTTTCTAAAAGCCATTTTATGTATTCAATGTGGATGGATGGGAAGCTAAGAGGGAAGAATTTGGTATCTTTCTACTAAAATGTTTGCTTAGGTAGATGAATAAAGATGTAAGCACAGAAATAAAATACACATCGATCCCCAAACCTATTCTGAGGGGCTGACTTTTAAATTACTTGAAATTTTTATTTCAGTTTTGGGGGTAAAACAAATGACTCTTTTATGGAGGATACTATAGTTGAAGTTATCTGATTCTATAAACATAGCAAGCACAGTTTCTGGTGGCAGCTACTTCCTTGGCCTGCATGTCGATAAAGCAATGCAGATAAAGATAAGCTTTGCCATGGAAAGTTGCACTATCACACGGGAAAGTCCAGTTTGAGTTCCTATTTTTTCTTCTATTCTTGTCCCTCCTGCTTTGGATTAAGCAGCCAAGTTGTAAAACTTAAAAGTTATGCGTCATGCTTTCTTATCTACAAGTGAATACTCAGGGAGATGAGTCTACTGATGATCAAAGTCATGGTAAGTTTCCTGTTTCAGAAAACATCTCTAATCTCAGCTTCATGATAACCTATGGAAGTTACCATATCTGTACAACTCACACAAATACCCATTCCTCTACAGGATTCCTACCACAACTCATAAATCTGTAAACCTCTATTTCAAATGTCATCCCTACCATTTAATCAATGCAGAAATCCAAGTAGATTTCTTTAAAAATAATGGCGGTGGTAAAAAATAAAAATGAGAGTCAAATATTAGCCAGTTCCTGTATTTATATGGTTATTCCTCTATCCACAATTTGTAAAAAGTTTTCACTATGATTTTTTGGAAATTATTTCTCCAAAGAATGTTGAGAATCATTTCCCACTTAAATAAAGCAAATGCTTAAAAAAGAAATAGATTGTAGCTGAAGAATAGCTCAGAAATTGGGTTTGTCTTAGGGTCCTGTGAAATCAGAGTCAAGCCCTGAGAATCAAAATTTTCCTTTCACTTTTCACTGAGAACTAAAGGTGTTTACTTCCTCTGATAAAGGGTTCATAATAGAGAGTGGCAGTTAACTTGGTTAAGGAAATTGTTAAAGGATGCTCTATTTGCGTTAACATCACATCATAAAATTAAATCATATAAAATGGAAGCCACATCTATCTCAGCTGCTAATTTTAGTTAAGTGAAAGCCTACAAATTCCTAATTAAAAGCTTCTTCATCTTAATGGCAAGAGCTAAGCATCACCTTGAGGGTTATTTTTAGGAAAGAATAAGAGAGCAGAGAGCTCGACTCTGAAAAGGACAAGACCATACCCTGTCAGTCCCTCCTCCCAGGCGGGCCTGGTGGGCTGCCCAAGGAACCTGCCGAAAACGCATTTAATAATTCTCCATAAAGAAAAGATTTTTAAAAGCAATAGGACCAATCAGGTAACAACAGACCAATCAGGTTTTTCCTAAAATTTAGAATTCACTGTGGCAAGCTGGATAGGCAATTACATTCAAAGGAATGTACAGGGAGCCGTCAATTGCCACTGCCATTCATTCAGCCGCATTTACTGAGCCAAGTGCTTTGCTAGGCTTGGAGATATAAAAATGAATACAACACAGCTGCTTTACTTCCAGTGAACAGAATACAACAGAGTATGCCGAAACAAAGGGCTTCAGGGCAACGTGTTAAGTACTATAATTGGGGTGTGCACAAAGGAATGGGGGCCAAAGGAAGAAGCCATAAATGCTTCCACAGGTGGGGGAACAGGCAAGAAGGGATGATGATAGTCCCTTGTGACAAACGAAAGACTTTGTCTTTGCCATGTTCTAAAAGGGCAGGTGGTTGTTTTAAGATTTATGAACTACTGTAATTTCAGGTGCTATTTTGGTCTATTAGCCAGTTTCATGTGTGTTCAACACTGACTTTCAGTTACAAAACCTCAGGAGTATACATCTTAAAAAATAAATTAGAATACTCCCCATGAAACACACACACAGTGCAGAATGGCATGAAACACCAGCATGAGTAAAACTTAGATCCTAATTTCAAAGATGTTTTGAAACCTGAGTGAATGAAAGACACATGAGAAAATTTATATACAATATTATTTTAAATATCACTTTTTTCTTTTCTTCTTAAGGCAAAAATAAAAGCATCACCTTATTATAGTGTGATATTTGCCTTTCTCTACATCTGTGTTTTTAAAAAGGAGGGTGTTGAATCAACTTCTACTTAACATCATTTACTATGCATACCATATTCCTACTTATAACATAGTTGTGACAAAACCTCCATTGTTCATTACACACCAGCCCCAAACTTGAGTCATTCTAATGTAAGCATGAGAAACTCCCGTCTCCTTTGGGGTGAATTTCCAAATTCCTCTGTGTTAAATTGAGGTCTAATTTTCCTTGTGCCTGGTTTTCACAAGAAGGTCCATTCCACCCCATGTGCTCCTTTTCAGCTGTCAATAAACAGAGGCAGTGAATTCCCCACAGCTTCACAAAGCTAGTTAGGCAGAGCCATTCAGTCCTTCAGGAAAACAGGGCATTGATTTCAGCGAGTTCCCAGGGAGCAGCTGCAACAAAGAGATCAAAGGCCCACCTCTCTCTCCCTCCATTGCTTTCATTAGGCCCAGCCCAGCCCAACAGC